TAAAATTTAGTGTAATTCGACGTCAATTTTTTTGTATTGTTCCATGGGGTCGCAGGTTGGGAACCCCCTCTCTCTCTCTCTCTCTCTCTCTCTCTCTCTCTCTCTCTCTCTCTCTCTCTCTCTCTCTCTCTCTCTATATAATATATATATATATATATATATATATATATATATATATATATGTATGTATGTGTGTGTGTGTGTGTGTGTGTGTGTGTGTGTGTGTGGTTGTGTGGTGTGTGTGTGTGTGTGTGTGTGTGTGTGTGTGTATAAATATGCATGTATACATGTATATATGTACACACACACACACACACACACACACACACATATATATATATATATATATATAATATATATATATATACATACATACATATACACTGATAACAAAAGAAAAGTTACCTGTACGAAACCCTTTCAACGAGTTCAGTGAAAGTCGTCTTATTCTTCTCCAGCAACTGCGAAAGCTCCGCCTCCGCCTCCTGCAGACGCCTCCGCCCCTCCGCCGTGGTGTTGCTCCTCCAGCCCAGGTACGGCGGGGAAGCCATGACGACCATCAGGCTCGAGACAGACACCCCGACGCCAAGGCCTGCGTGAGGAGGAACCACTTATGTTTTCCTGTTTGGGATTATGGGATGAGAGTGGCGGGGTTACTATGTGTATAGTGTATAATAACGTATGTCCAGTTTTGGAAATGGAGAAGTGAAGGGAACGGATGAGAGACACACATACAGAGAGAGAGAAAGAGAGGGAGAGAGGGGGGGGACGGGAGGAGTGGTGAATAAGGAGAGAGGAGAAGTGAGTGGGTGAGTGAGAGAGAGAGAGAGGAGTGAGTGGATGAGTGAATGAGAGAGAGTGTGTGTGTGTGTGAGAGAGAGAGAGAGAGGAGAGAAAGAGAGAGAGAGAGAGAGAGAGAGAGAGAGAGAGAGAGAGAGAGAGAGAGAGAGAGAGAGAGAGAGAGAGAGAGAGAGAGAGAGAGAGAGAGAGAGAGAGAGAGAGAGAGAGAGGAGTGAGTGCGTGAGTGAATGAGAGGAATGAGAGAGAGAAAAAAAAATAACGAATGGCAGGTGACAGAGACAGAAGAACTGCATTAGGGACATTGCCACTGGTAGTTGAGCTCAAGCAAATCGCTCTGGCTTACTTCCTTGTTATTAAACAAGGTTGTTACACTAAGTTGATAAAACGCATTATTCAAGGACATTTATTAGAACCGCACGTGTCCTTCAAACCCCGTTTTTTTCACTATTTTATCACTTTCCTCTTTTCTTCAATTAGGGAGGGAAGGGAGGGATAAGTAATGAGTATGAAATACAGTGTCTTGTCATTACGTCAAATGGTCAAAGTAATCTATCTCTTAATAATTGTATCTTATTCATGATAAAATGAATTAAAGATAAATAAATGAATATGGTTATTAGTGTGTTCTAAATCAGTATTTCGGTTCTTTGTGAGGTCTACTGTTGAGTACTATGGTTTCTGATAAACGTATGTTGTCTAAAGTACAATTTGAAAAGTGTTTTCCCACCCACCCACTCCTGTAAAAATCCTACAAATACTGTTGTATCCGTAATGATTAGTTATCAATTTCTCATTGTACTTAAATCTATCTTATTCTTCATTTCATTTGCCTCGTTTCTCTTTCAAATTATTCGTTCATTTCAGTCTCATATATACAAACCTTAGGTATTTGAACACGTACACACAAGAAGCAACACTGACCTAACTTAATGATTGTAATAACTTGAACTTAAATACTCATTTTTTTTAACTAATAACTTGAGCTTTTATACTCACTTTCCAGTTTCTTCCGTGAGAACAGGCGGCGGTTGCATATGACGGCTGAGGGAATCTGAAGTGAGTCCGCATTTTTGAGACGCATCTGAAAAGACATGAGTTGACTGAAGCCTCGAAGCAAAATTCTCGAAACATGATTCGAAACTGTACCATATTTTGTGTACCTCAGGCTTGTGAGTTCTTCCGGTTGTGTATATTGGCAAGGATAATTGGTTCGCCTCTTTTGAAGCAAGGTAACCTACGATCTCGTTTACGGAAATGCCAGAGAACTCAATCCCACAATACGGATTTGCATTTGCCTGCATGGAAAACAAACAGAGAGGCAACACGGTAACCCCTTTTCCCTCCGCCTGACCTCCTGCTGCGCCTCCCTGTTCATGAACTGCAACACGAGGAAGACGCAGGTGACCACGCCGATGACCAAGCAGACGGCCGTGACGACGAACCACAAGACACCCATTGCACTTCTGCGGTTGTCCCAGATGTGCGCGAGCCCGTGGGAGGTCGACTTCGTGCAAATCATCTCAAGCAAGTTGCTCATGGACGAAGATGTAGGTGGGCGCTGTGTGTGGGAAAACGTAAGCATGTGAGTTTTGTGTGAAGTATAGACACTAGACCAGCCTTTCCCAACCCCGGGGTCGTGACCCACGGTGGGGACACCAAGCTTTTCCTGAGGTCGCCGAGCCCTCAAAATATCAGACAT